TGACAGATGCGGGCGCTGGTCTGCTCGTAACTCTGCCTGCGAGGTCGCAGAGACGCAGCAGCGAGCTCTGCTTCTCGCCGAAGTAATTTTCCACGTCCTGCACTTTCACTCGACTCATGGTCAGGGAGTCCTTGAAGAGCCTCTGCGATGCGCTCGGGGCTTGTTCAGTGTTGTCTGTGGCGTTTTTTATTATCGGTTTTAATCCCTGGCGCATCGTAAATCAGCATCCTAGAAGAACCATAACAAACAAAAAATTTACTGCTTAGCAGCACCAGCTGTGTCTGAGTTTTTTAAAGTTGTAAAATCTACCAACCTGCCTCAGTAACGAGCGTTTGTCAGCTGATGACGGCTAGCCCATGAGTCAAAGATCTTGAAGATATATAGGAAATAATTCACAAGTAATGCTTCTGTGTTTTAAAATATGGGTAGCCGTTTAATCTCTCACTGCTCTGGGACCATAAAGACGACTGCCTGTGTTTTTCCTCCTGATGATCTCCCGAGGGTTCTGCCAGAGCCCGATCCCGGGCCTGCGTGGCAGATCTGCGGGTGTGCTAACCCTCCGTGTCCCCCTGCCAGAGCCCGCGGAGAGCACAACTGCCCTGCCAGCACCCGAGGACCGCTCCTCCTGCGACAACGCCCCCTTCGGCTGCTGCCCGGACAGCAGGACCGCGGCCAGCGACTCCGAGGGCACCAACTGTCCGCGTAAGTGTGTGGGATCTGCCCCTCCCCCCCAGTGCTGCCCAGCCCAGCTCGCTGCCGTGTCATGTCGTTAGGAAGGGATCGGGCCAGCGCTCGGTTCTTACGGATCTCTCCTGCTCGGCACCTCCGCTCGGTCTTGCGATGTTGCTGTGCAGTGTTCTCCCGCTGCCGGCTCTGACCTCCTCTCTGAACTGGGCACTGTTACAGGGCTGCCTGTCCCAAGCGGATCGATGCCGCTGCTGCACGGGGATTCTGGATCCCGAGCTGCAGTCTGACACATTCCCGAGCCGTGAGCAAGGCGGGCTTCAGACAGTAACTGTCCCCATGCCCAGTTCTCGACATCGGAGCGCGAGAGAACTGTCAGAGGCATAGAGGAGCAATGGAGTTTCCATCTAATGGCCTTCGTCTGCCCTGACAGAGGCCCAGCACGTTTTGGGTTTTTTCTCTCATTTTGGGAAGTGTCCCGTCGGTGTCTCTTTGTTGACGGTGACAGACTGACCTGACAGCAGCAGCTCCGTGTCCTCTGCGCTCGTTGAAGAAGGGAGCTGGAATGTGTGGATCAGCCGAAACAGGCTGCGCTCCTTGCACTTTGCCAGACGCCCTACGCCTCTCGCAGCTGATCTCCGCCTGGCTTCAGTCTCGCCACCGGCTTGTTCATGTCTCTCTCCCTTTTCCCTCTGCGCTTTTTTCTTCAAAAAACTGCATTCAGTTGGATGCTGGATGTGCAAAAAAAAAAAACACAAAACATCTTGTCGTGCAATTTAAAGAGCTGCTGTCAGTCAACCAGCCTGCAGTTTGGGAAACAATTACCCATATCTTCAGAGATAATCACGCTGACGCTTCCAGACAAAGACGAGACTTTGGTTGTGATTGATTCAGGCAATTTGCTCCTCTGATTGCGGGCCACATGAAACTAGTCATTGGGCTCTGCTGCGCCTTCGTCCTCGCAGGCTCCCATCAGGCCCTAACGAGCTGTGAATAAATGAGGGTGACAGGCTGCAGTTTGGGGCTGAGCTCTGGGGTGCGGTAGCAGTGTCACGGGTGATGTGAATTAATGAGAACCCCCCCCCCCAAAGGTGGAGAACATTTTAAAAATCAGGTCCCGTTGTCCGTCTTTCTCCTCTCCGATTCTGTAATTTTTTGCATGCTCAACTTACAGTCTTGTGTGTGTGTGTGTGCCAGTGTTGTCTCTAATGTGTTTTTCTCTGCTTAGTTCCCTCTGCTCCTTCCAACTTATCGGAAAACCGGGACACTCGTCAGGGTAACTCCAAGCCCTCATGTCATGACAACAGACGTCACTCACCTCCACCCTCACGTGACGTAGCTTCACCCCACATGAGCGAGAAAGCACTAACGCCACCTCTGGTCCATCTCACTAACCTCTAGACTGGCACTACCAACCAACCGGGCTTAGCTTCTGTCAGCCGGCGGCGTGGCCCCGCGTCCCGGTCGCCCGCCGTGACTCTGTCCCGCCTCTCTGGTCTCCTCACAGCCACCATGAAGTTCAGCGGGTTCCTGCACCTGGAAGAGGTCGAAGGTCAGGAGGTGTTCTACACGCCAGAGATGGACGACCCCAAGTCGGAGCTCTTCGGAGAGACGGCGAGGAGCATCGAGTCCGCGGTGAGCCGCCACCAAGACCCCTCTCCCTGCCGCGTCTGGGGACGCCCCCGCGCTTGTGAAACGCAGCTGCGAGCTGAAAGACATTACAGGGCAAAGGGACCAGTCCCGCCCTGAGTCCCTGTGCCCGCTGCACCCACCTCTCGGCAGCAGGGCTGATAATAATAATTAATTATCAGAATTGCTTACACTTATATAGCACTTTTCTGGACACTCCACTCAAAGCACTTGACAGGTAATGGGGATCCCCTCCACCAGCACCAGTGTGCAGCCCCACCTGGGTGATGTAACGGCGGACATAGTGCACCAGTACACTCCCAACACAGCAGCTCCCAGTGGGGAGGAGAGCAGAGTGATGAAGCCAGTTCAGAGATGGAGGTTATTAGGAGGCCATGATTGATAAGGGCCAATGGGAAATTTGGCCAGTCTAATTGGGATGGGATGGAGGGCTGGCGGGGCTGCGTGTCCGCGTGTCCGTGTGACTCCTGTGGACAGCACTGCGTTCACACAGCCAGACGCCCTAGCTGATGGGAAAGGCAGTAAAAAAGACGTTGAGACGTTTGTTCCTTGTAAAACCTCATGTTAAAGTGGAATTGTAACACAAAAACTGGCAGCTTCCTGTTGTAGTTGTACTTGCCTACATGTGCCTTTTGTCATAAGGCACTTATTTGTCAGGAAATGCGGAGTAAAACACTATGACTCGGTGGAGAAATATCGATTAGTTGAAAAATCACAATACCGGCCTGCACAAAGAGCTGTGCAGATGTAAAGGTTTATTGTTCTGCAGTGTTTTTTCTGTGTGGATACTAGACTTACCTTTACATTGAGCGTGCAGCGGCAGCCTCTCTCAATGGGCTGACCTGTTGTTTATGAGGCTGTTTCTCCCCCCAGTACATGTTTGAATTAAAAGAGTATAAAACGGGAAGCTTTTGCAAAAAATTAGACTTTCAAATCACAGCATGTGCGGGTGTCTGTGCCTCCAGTGCTGTGTGAATGAAGGCAAGCTCAGCCTTAGACTTCACTAATCCTGCCACAAAGCCTTCTGCGCCGAGAGATAGCCGGCTTAAACCAGCCCCACTCCTCTCCGGCTTGTCTGCCTTCACTTCTGTGTGCCCGCTAGACTGAAAGGAAACATCACCATCATCCAGGCTGGTCTGAGCCCCTTTTCACTCTCTCTCTCTCCTACGTGACCTAACCTTACAGAGGGCAGTTCGAGTGGGGTTGTCTCTACTGGTGTGACAAGCACCCTCACCACTTCACCTGCTACCCCAGCAGGGGGCCCTGTGGAGCACGGCCTGGGCCTACAGGAAGGGCTAGGGCTATAAGCCCCAGGTATACCGGGCCTGTTTCTGTGGAAAGAGGCCTGGAGAACAGAGGGTCAAGCGTGGCAGTGAGAGCCTGCTCTCTCCTGCGAGGGGGGATTGGATGCAGACACCCCCCCACACAGGGATTTCAGCACAGACAGAGTCACAGGCCCTGAGTCTTTACCCCTGCGAGGTGCACACACTCCCCCTGCTGGTCACGACGACGAGCTGCGGGCTGTCCATCGGCCAGTCAGCCGCGCGACTTGAGACAGAATCAGCCAGGGGAGGACACTCCTGCTACATCCAGGAAAACATTCCCTGATGGAGAGGAGGGTTTTCTGGGAAAGGGAAAAGTGAATGCACACATATTTGAAATGGCTCAGGCTCGTGTTGCATGTGGGAAAAGCACCCATATCACCTTAAAGTGTGAAATGCACATTCTTTTCACATTTACCAAGTCCTACAGAAGTACATTGATCCATTCAGTCCTTGCGGGGCTCATGGATTAATCTTACTCCGTCTTTTATGGCAGCAGTATAAGGTCAGTGATGGGAATTTAACAACAGCATCCCGGCTGACCCTCTTTTCCCAACTCTTCCTCTCCAGCTGAACGAGCTGTTCCGGAAGTCGGACGTGCAGAAGGACTTCAAGAGCGTCCGGGTGAGAAGCCTGGCTCCCAGCAGCTCCATCCTGGCCTTCGTGGAGGCCCACTTCGATCCCGGTGAGCTGTCGGCCGTCGTCTGGGGCGCTCCTGGTGCCCGGGCCGCAGATCCAGCCTGCGGTTTTGATCCGGCGTGCCAGTCCCTCTTTCACAGTGGCAGGCTGCTGGCGCGGGCCCCTGTCCCAGCTCTCAGAGGGAGAACGGAGCTGTTGCAACATACACAAAAAGAGTTAAAAAGAGCCGAGCTGGGCTCTTTCATTCGATGGCTCTCTGGCTCTTGTTGCTCTTGTGGCTCTTGTCCACACTGGGAGCTGCAGTCGTTCTAGTTTGTGAGTTTTATTATGCCTCCGTGGAAAAAAGAGAAGGAATTGTTTTTTCTAACACTTTCATGTGTGCAGCCCTCCGACATTCATCTCCAACTGCGCCATAAAGATTTTCAGAGCGATTCTAAAAAACGCATAAAATTCGTTACAGCATTTGCCTTAATAGGTGCCGTTTAATGTTTTGCAAAAGCCCATTGTAAAAGCAGTCCTTGATGTCTCATAATCTTCCCATCTGCGGCGGTATAAAAGAGCTGAGCTTCCTTGGGTCATATCGAGCACTGTGTATCTGAATTTGATTGGGGAGAAAGTAACTCTCTTTCATGAGCAGGGAGCTCATTTTAAAGAGCGTCCTTCGGAGTCCCATCTGTCCTTCCTGCCTGCAGACCTGTGAGGAGCCCGCAGAGGAGTCACCACTCAAGGATGTCCCAGTCCCAGACAGCAGAAGGGTGCAAGTCTCAAGCGCTTGGTTTACAGTGACGTGTCATCTGTTTGCCTGTTTTCCCAGACACCCAGTACACTGTGGAAGACATTGAGAACGCCCTTCTCACACAGCTGAAGGCCTCCAAGACTAAAGCTATATCGGTGAAGAAGCCGGAGAAGGACAACATCAGGTTCAGTAATTTCGGTAAAGCTCTGTCTCTTCTGTCTTTACGTTTGTCTTCGTTGCACAGTTAGAGCTCCTGGCTAGTTGCATGCATCCTGCCTGAGACAGCCAGGAAGAAGACTGCAGTTCTCCAGTAGTAGGCATTCTGTGCTATCCGCAGAGTATTAACGGTGTTAAGTTCAAGTTCAAGTTTATTGTCATTACACTCATATACATGGTATATGGTGTTACGAAATGCTATTTAGCTAGCTCTCGGACATAAGTAGTACAAAGAGAAAAAACACAACAACAACAATACAATTGTGTAGCAAAAGAAAGACAGAGACAACAGGCAGTGTGCAAAAAACAACAACAGGCAATGTGCAAAACAACAAAAAGGTAACAGGTTATGTGCAAAAATATGCATCAACAGAATAAAATAAAGGGATAGAAATTATGGGGAGTGAGCTTTTGACATGTATGGTAGAGGTAGGTTAATGAGAGGCAGTCATTAACGTGGGCTGTAGGGGCGTGGCAGTGCAACAGCAGTGTACCTGTATGACGGAAGCATAGAGGGTTAATAAACATCCCAGCACGTTGCTCAGCTCAGTGGCTGCATGGACACTCCTGGCTGCTTGGGCGGTCTCTGTGACGCAGGTGATGCCCCCTGCTGTACATCTGATGCTTTGCCCTCCAGGTTTGGTGTCCCTGCCTTTCTTCACCACAACCGCCACCACCACGGCAACTGTCACCATGCCGACCACCACCACCCCCCTGCCGACTGCCACCGCGACGACGAGGAGGCCGAGCACCACGTCCCGGGCCACTACCCGACGGCCCTACAGCAACAGGCGGACCACCACGGCCGCGCCGGCCACTGCCCGCCGCCCCCCCACCACGACTACGCCCCCGGTCCCCTCCTCCACCTCCCCGCCGCTCACTACCCCCCCTGTGAGAGCCAGGCTGGTGCCCCAGCCTAAGAAGCCCCCCAAGCCGTGTGAGTCCCACCCCTGTCGCCACGGCGGCACCTGCGAGGAAGACGGGAGGGACTTCACCTGCATCTGCCCCGCCGGCCGCGGAGGAGCCGTGTGCGAGAAAGGTGGGCGTCGCCGGGGGGGGGAGCTCGAGGAACCCCGAGCAAAAACAGCCAGTTAGTCCCGCATTTCACCCGGGGAGCCGCCCGAGACCGAACCGGGACTTAACACGACAGCCGGACGCTCTCCACAGGCGTGGCCTGCGCTGAAAACGATGGTTCGGTATTTGCTTCCTTGTTCCGAAATAAGCTCAATTGAAGAGATCTGTCTTTATCTGGAACACAGCCCCGGGTGCCTCATTCCGCTGCAGAAGGTTTCACACTATACAATCACCACACAGAGAACAGCTCTGCGGTTCAGTGGCTCGGGCTTTTTCCTGTTGGTCGGATTGGCTAATTGGCTTTTAATTGGACTGTGCAGGTCAGGAGGTGGGGATCTCTGACACATCTCCAGCCTTGGGAAAAGCCGGAGAACGAAGAAGATAAAGATAAGAGAAATAACACATCCAGTTCTGTGTGGTGCTGTGAGGTTGTTTTGCCCATTAGTGAGCGAAGCGGCTCGTGTCGCCTCCCCCATCTACAGCAGAGTGGTAATTGCTGCCTGTTGGTGGAAGTGACTTGTGTGTAGCACCATTGACTCAAGGCCTCCTAAGTGCTGGCTCAATGAGACATGTTTTCCTCTAGCTGAGCACTTACCTAATGCAGAAAACTCTTCATTAATCAGGCTTATTAAAGAAAATGGGGAGCATTAATCATACAGCTTTCTCTGCAGCGGGACTTCACGGCGAAGCCATGTGAAACAGCAGCGGAGACGAAGGCTCCAGTAGTCTTCCTCGGTTTCTCGTGAATGCACGCGATACAGGGGGGGTGATCAGATCCCCGGGCGTGCGAGCGCGTGCGAGCGCGTGCGAGCGCGTGCGGCGGTGAGGACTGCAAGCAGCCAGTCACGATCCGCAGACACGAGGCAGGAGAGCTCGGGTTGCACGCTGCCGGGAGCTCGTGGGCCGTGGGGCTCGCCTGCGCGCGCAGGGCTCCTCCGCTCCCGGCCTGGCCGCGCTCGGGGAAAGTCACGCAAACTCTCTCTTTCTCGCCCTTCAAGTCATCAGATACTACATCCCCTCCTTCGGGGGCAAGTCCTACCTGGCGTTCACCACCATGAAGGCCTACCACACCATGCGCATCGCCATGGAGTTCCGGGCCTCCGAGCTCAACGGGCTGCTTCTCTTCAACGGGCAGAACGGCAGGAAGGACTTCGTCTCCCTCGCCCTCGCGTCCGGCTTCGTGGAGCTCAGGTCAGTGCGCGAGGGAGACTTTGTCCACCCGCGGCTCCCCGTGAGCTGGGGACGGGCCGGCGCAGGGCGGGCTCTCAGAGGCAGAGTGCACAGTGAATATCTCACCCGGCCGTGCACCAGGGGAGGAGCTGCTGAGCAAAGACGCCGTCATACTAATATTAAGTAATGCTGGACACAAGAGGCAGAGGCGTTACCACTTCTAGAAGCATATAAAGATCTTCTGTTCCATTTCTTAAAAGAGTTGTGGGAGAGTGGAAGCCTGGTTTCTTTCAGGAAGCAGCTGGATGAGATCCTGGCTACCGGACTGGCCAGATGGTCCCCTGTCGCTCGAGACTTGTGTTCCGCAGACTCCGGGGTCTCCGGGGCGGAAAATGGGACTTCGGGCCACTCACCCGGCTCTTCCGCTATTTCCCCGCCGGCTCGTTGAAATGGTTTTGTCTCGGACGCCACCACAGGTTCAACACCGGCTCCGGCACCGGCGTGCTCACCAGCAGGGTGCGGGTCGAGCTGGGCAAGTGGCACCAGGTGGTCGTGACGCGGAACCGGCGCAGCGCCATGCTCAGCGTGGACAGCGAGGCGCACGTCACCGGGGAGAGCCCGCCGGGCACCGACGGCCTGAACCTGGACACCGACCTCTTCATCGGGGGCGTCCCGGAGGAGCTCCTGGCGGAGTAAGAGCCGAGCCGCGCCCTGCGCGTCGGGCTGGCGTGGGCGGGGGCGGGCGGGGGCTGGCGAGGGGGCAGCAGGGCCGCAGAGTACTGCCCAGACACGCCAGGTTCAGTGATGGAAATCTGTCCCTGGGAAAAGGAAGAGCTCCCACTGCAAACCGACAGCTCCTTCAGAGCTCTTCAGGAGCCTCGCGGTGTGTCCAGTCTGCACTGTGCTGAATAACCAGCCGCTGGCCTTGGGAAACTGGGAAGACACGGAGCCCAGAGGGCCGCAGGGCCAGGGAAAGTCAGGTGTGGCTCGAGCCTACAGACAGCACACTAGTTTGGTAATTCAGGACGTTCCCTTCACGGCCTCCCTGTAATCAGTGAAATGGTGATTTAAAGCGCCTAATCGATTAGAAATGGGTGGTATGGTGTTGCAGGGGTTAGCATTGCTGCCTTGCAGCACTGGGGCCCTGGGTTCGATTAAGGGCCTAGTGCAGTATCTGTGTGGAGTTTGCATGTTCTTCCTGGGCTCACGTGGGTTTGCTCCAGATGCCCAGATTCCTCCTGCAGGCCTGGTTGGTAGGTTAATTGGTTCCTGGGCCCTGGTGTGTGTGTGTCTGTGTCTGTGAGCCCTGCGATGGACTGGTGTCCCGTCCAGGGTGTACCCTGCCTTGCGCCTGTTGCTTGCTGGGATAGCTCTGGCTCCCCCGCAACCCTGGACTGGATAAAGCAGTTAGAAAATGGGTGGATGGATTAATTAGTGAGGCTGTAGGGGTTTAATAGGCTCCAGATTCCCGATGCTCCTGCTTCTTCCTGGTGCTCTCTGGGACACAGGCTCAGGAAGGAATGCAGCTGTCCAGTTGTCATCTCTGTGCGAGTGTAGCACCCCTGCAAGAGAGGCAGGGGCTGTTTGGTTTAATAAAGCCCCTTGCCCCAGCTGGGGCCGGAAGGGCTCCCCGGCTCTCGCGGCTGACCCCCCTGTTCCCCCCGCAGCGTGAGGGAGAGGACGTCCGCCTCCGCCGGCCTGGTGGGCTGCGTCCGCGCGCTGGACGTCAACAACATGCTGTACAACCTGCAGGAGAACGGGGGCGAGGTCCTGTACGGCAGCGGCGTGGGCGAGTGCGGCAACAACCCCTGCCTGCCCAACCCCTGCAGGAACGGGGCGTCCTGCCTGGCCAAGGAGGCCGAGATGTTCCACTGCAAGTGTGTCCACGGCTTCTCAGGTAGGCCAGGGCCAGGGCCAGGGGTCTGACACACGCTCGTGCTCGGGAAGGGGAATGGGAGCTCCCAGCGCCGGCTGCAAGGCTGGTGCTCCGGTTCTGTCTTCAGCCAGGACTGAAGCCACAAGCAGTGGGAGCTGGAGGCCAGCCGGGGTCGTGCCAGGCCTCTGCTGGATTCTGTCTAGTTTGTCCCGGGATCGTTCTGGGTTTTCTGCCGGTGTTGTGCCAGTGTTGCGCCAGTTTGTCCCAGCAGCCATATTGCCTTCCATCTCACAGCTGGCAGCCCACTGAGGCTCAGCAGGTGTGAGCCTGATCAGTACCTGGATGGGAGACTCCTGGGAAAAACTAAGGTTGCTGCTGGAAGAGGTGTTAGTGGGGCCAGTAGGGGGCACTCACCCTATGGTCTGTGTGGGTCCTAATGCCCCAGTATAGCGACGGGGGCACTATACTGTAAAACAGTCCTTCAGATGAGACATAAAACCGAGGTCCCAGGGTGTTTCTCGAGAAGAGTAGGGGTGTAACCCTGGCGTCCTGGCCAAATTTCCCATTGGCCCTCACCAGTCATGGCCTCCTAATAATCCCCATCTCTGAACTGGCTTCATCACTCTGCTCTCCTCCCCACTGAGAGCTGCTGTGTGGGGAGCGGACTGGTGCATCATGCAGGTGGGGCTGCACACTGGGGGTGGTGGGGGGGTACCTGTAAAGTGCTTTGAGTGGAGTGTCCAGAAAAGTGCTATAGAAGTGTGAGGAATGATTATTATTGTGCGGGGGTTTTGCCGAGTTTGTGCCGGCTCTGGGATGCTGGATCCTGAGGCGGAGCTGGGCTCCTGCTGGGTGGGGGGGCGTGAGGGGGCAGCAGGCTCCCGGCGCGCGCGGAGGAGACAGACTCTCTGCGTCTGCCATGGCTTTCGTGGCTCGAGGCTCGTCACGCACGCTGCTCTTGACTCCTGCGGTCTGGGCCCAGATTGATGTAACCGAGCTCCTTCCAGTTTCCAGACATCAGAATTTGCAAAGCTTTCTTCTGAAGGGTGACTCACACCAAGTTAACGTTAGTCATACTCCGCCTGTCGCCAATTTAGCGAAAGCCTCCAGAAGCTTCTGTGATAAATCTCGCTACGCAGAGTGTTTCAGTGACATCGTGCGCCTCTGCGATATGTCTCTGCTCATCAAGCTCGGCGGCGCAGGGATAATTATGAGCTTCACACTAGTAACGCAGGCGTGTGCGACTGGCCCTGCAGCCGGAGCTGAGCCCTGCGCTCGTGCGTTCCTGATTTCCCCCGGGACGTGAAAGGGCGAGGCTGGCCTTCCTAGGAGGCACAAGCGTGGCACCCGCGGTGCACACCTGCCAGGCTGACGGGCACCCTCCTTGCACGCTCCTGGCACTTGAGTCAGCTGCTTCGTTATTGAAGCGGTTCCTCTGCGCGAGAAATAAAAAAATAATAAGGAAAGAAACTGGTTGTCTCGCTCAGACGGCGATAGTTTTCTACAGATGACATGATCAGCGGAGGGTGACGCCAATGCCAGGCTGTGCAGAGCAGAGGAAGACGGACACGCTAAAGGCTCCGAGATGCGGCAGTTATTTTTACTCCAGCGGAAGGTTCTTCAGAGAACAGTGGGATTTTATTAGGACATTTGTTCGAGCTCCTGGCTTCCTGGGGCTGCCTGTGGATGCTGATGTATTCCGGTTGCAACTGGAATCAATGTCCTTGGGATATTTCCAGGCGGAAAGCCAGTCTCACAAGCGTGACGCGGCCCTCATATCATAATCTTCCATTTTAATAACTCTCCGATAAATCCCATTTAAGAAAGATCTGCTTTAAAGTGCAAATCCTGGCCTTGCTTATAAAAAGCTTTTAGCCTCTAAGTGTCTTCAAAGGGTTAGAGAAGAACGTATCTTTCTGAATTAGGATTTGTTGAATGTGATTTTCTAGCCATGAGAGTTCTGTATTGGATTTCTTTCTCTTTTTTTTCTGTCGTCAAATTCAGGTCCCACCTGTGCAGACGCTCACAACCCCTGCGAGCCGAACCACTGCCACCCCTCCGCCCAGTGCCAGGTGTTGCCCCAGGGCGGGTACAAGTGCGTCTGTCCAATGGGACGCGAGGGAACTCACTGCGAGAGAGGTAAAGGGCGGCCACACCCGGCACATCGGAAACCAGTCTGCTTGACATTGAGCATGCTGTGGAAGGCTCCACAGTACCCTCAGTGTATAGGCATGAGTTTCATTTGAACATAAGATTGTAAGAACAGAGGATAGGTTACAGTATGAGACCACTGGGCCCATCTTGCTCATTTGGAAGTTAGGAGTTAAATGAGCCAAGGATCTCTGCCCAACTGTTTCTTGAAAGAATCCAAGGTGTTGGCTTCAACAACATGGCTGGGCAGCTTGTTCCCCACCCCCACCACCCTCTGTGCCTGGAGGAGTGTAAAGAGTCTCGGCTCTGAGCGCAGCTCCCTGTAGTCTGCACTCCTGCCCCGTGGTCTGTGTTTCACTCTTGATCCTGAAGACGCCTGCTGGATTGACTGCCGAGGCCCTGGAGGATTTCGAATACTTGTGTCGGGTCCCCACTTGTCTTCTCCGTTCGAGACACAGGAAGAGGACGGGGCTGTTCTTCCTGCGCAGTGAAGAGCGTGCCGAGATCTTTTCACTAACCGGTGTCCTGAATTCCGATTGAGAGATCAAACACTCACAAGCCCCTCCCGGGGGTCTGGCAGTGGCCCAGGGCCGCTGGGCATGTGTGCTGTTTTTATCTGTTTTTAATTTGGCTTTTCAGCAGCTCGGCTTCCAGCCCGCCTACAGGTGTTGTGTTCAGAAGCGTCTGCGCGGCCTTGCTGCAGAATCAGGGCTCGGCCTGTTTGTTTGAAGTCTTCATTAGCGGTTCGGGGTTTTAGACATAAACTCGGCAAAAACAGCTAGAGAAAAAAAACCTACGCGCAATTTTCTTTCGAAAACCGAAAAGCCGTACTGAAAAAATAATTAAATTGAAAAAACACTGGGCTCCAAAAGAAGGCTTGGAAGCTGCGCGTGGAGACCAGCCCCCGGATTAATAACAAAGCCTTTGAAAAAACGAGAATTGAAGGAAGGAAGAGAAAAAGGCTTAAGAAATAATTGCGCCTCAAATAAAGGAAAAAGACGGCCCTGGAAAACACACAAGAAAGAGGAATTGATGGACTGGGCGAGGGGATCGTTCAGCCGCACAGTGTAAACAGACCAGCTCCCAGGAGGTTCCTTCAGTGTCTTTGTATTGGAGCATACCTGTCACTTGTGCATGTGACAGTGAACTGAACCGAGCTGACGAGAGTGATCTGATATTCTCCTGACTCCGGGGTGAGAGAGTGACCCTCGGGCTGAGCTGTCGCCCCATTGCTCAAATAAAGCACCTCTCAGGCGTCCCCTAAACAGGAATGACGGCAGGAGCCACACCTGCCAAGCGAAACCTGAGGAACAGTTTCTTTTGCGTGAGGACCCGGTGCAGCTACTCCACACTCATATCCTGTAGTAGGAGGACTTCTGTTTTACATATAAAGACTGTTAGTGTTGATATGTTTGCATAATGTCTCTTGTGCATTGTTTTCATGGTGTTGGAGGAGGTGGAGGAGGTTATTTTCAGTCTTACTTTGGTTATGCACTGCCAGGAACACGTGCTAGAAAACACATTTTAAGTGGCTCAAGGTTCCAGCCCCTTGAAGATTTATACTCCAGTTCTGTCTGTGGCAGACAATATATAACCTACAGCAACACCTTTCTGAATTCTCACTCTGTGAAAGTGACACCACACCCTTCAGCGCCACATTTTAAAACTGCCTGTTAGACCATGAACAAAAATACAGTTCTTAATCTGGAGGGGTTTAAAGCTGAAAATTTAAGAGCTTTATTCATTCTAGCGAATAATGATCTAAATGAACCGTAACAGCTGAAAAAGGACGAAATGCCGAGCAGTTTGGGAAGGTTTATAATGTACTGTTTTTAATTATCCCTTGAGTTACTTGTCTTGGCTTTCACCCAGCTCATGGATCGGCATGCAGTGGCCCTGTCGTCCAGCTGGAGTGGGATCAATCCCTGTCCAGTGGGATCAATCTCTGTCCAGTTACAGTGGGATCAATTCCTGTCCAGTGGGACCAATCCCTGTTCAGTTACAGTAGGATCAATCTGCCCAGTCTCAGTGTTGCAGTTCTCCTGCACATTTTGTCCTTGGTGCTGTTCTAGTTTTCCCCTCTATCATCAGCAGGTTTTGCAGAGCATGATCAGGGCTTTTAATCTCCAAAATTAACAAGTAGTACAACAGCAGTAACAACGAATCAGGACCACTGCACTCAGCCCTGAACCCCTCTTAAGAACGTACGCTATGAGCGCTTGTTGAGAGACAACTCAGAACAATTTTGATGGAGACAAAATCTGAAAGGAAGCAAATAATGCTGACCCCCAGTTATTTCCGATTGTGCTTGAAGAGCAACAGCACAAGGCTGAATGTCAAGTTCAAGCCAATGCTGGAGTTATCAAGAGGGATAACGATACAGTCGAGGGTTTGCCAAGACATATTGTGGAGGCCGAGAGGCTGGGATCTTTCATGACTGGGACTTGACACAGCAGTAGAGTCACCTGGAGTCCAGGAAGTCAGTGAGCCTGTCGGCGGCTGGGATTCTCTGACCTCGCTCTCGGACACTGTGTCACCCCCACGGGTGTGCGGGCCTCCGTGAGCCCTGTTGCGTGGCGCTCCTCGTGTGGTTTTGAGGGCTGTCGTCTGGGAAGGCACTAACGGGCGGCCCTCCCTGTTTGTTTCCTTCGTGTCTGACAGAATCGAGAAGTGGCGCCAGAGAGACCTTCATGCCTTTCTTCAACGGGGACTCGTACCTGGAGCTGAAGGGACTGCAGAGCTACGGACACGACCTGCAGTGAGTCCCTCTCCGTCTCCCGTCCCCGAGCTGCAGCCCGTGTCTCTGTGCGGCGGCTCTCCGCTCACTTTGAGGATAAATGAGCGGTCAGGGTTCAGACGCTTCAGACACGGTTCTGTTGGGTTTTGTTTGTGTTTTAGCTGAACAGAGGTGGGGAAACGAACGGCAGGTGGTACATTAGTGTTGCTCATTGGAAGGGGGCAATGGAAGTTTATGGCTCTGTTTAATTTTAATGGCGCCAGCTTAATTTTAATTTTATGGAGCAATTTGATGGAAATATATGGGCACTTTGGAGTGAAAATAGCAGGCCTCATCTGTTACTCTCCCAGATTCAATATGCTTGTGCGAAATGATCTCCATCTGGGCTGCGAGCCTGACTCTGCGTAGGAGTAGGTGCGGGCCCCGTGGGTTTTGGGGAGCACGTGCATCGGGGCGTCTGTAAGGCTCCCCTGTGCTGTGTCCCTGCAGGCAGAAAGTCAGCCTGACGCTGGTGTTCCTGGCCAAGGACCCCAATGGCATGATCTTCTACAACGGGCAGAAAACAGATGGCAAAGGGGACTTCATCTCCCTGGCTCTGAGCGACGGGTTCCTGGAGTTCCGATACGACCTGGGCAAGGGCCCAGCTGTGATCAGGTGAGCTCGGGGGCTGGAAGAGGACACACAGGGCTGCTCATCACTGCCTTTAACTGACCTGTGTCCCGATGCAGCGAAGAGGTGTGGCAATCCGCCCACAGTTCAGACACTCTTTACGATTCAGTAGGATTTCAGGGTTGCAGTGCTGTTTCCGACAGCCTAATAGTAGATATGTATTTGGTGCTGGAATAATTTGTGAGTAAATGTCTTGCACGAGACGTGCTGAAAATAACCCAACGTGAAACGACACAGGCGGCCAGTTCGGTTATCGGAAGATTGAATCCCGAGACGAACAGGTTGGAGAGAAGAAGAGATGGGTATCACCCATCAGCCATGTCCCCGTTAAAATAAAGGAGAAACAGCGGATCTGTCGAGACACACAATCTAGAGGAACCAACCTTGGTTCATAATTTAAAACCCCAAAAATCTCATCTTTGTCTCCCCTCACATTAAGTTTCAAAGGGCCAAGGTGTGATCAAAAGTAAGAAACAGAAGGTCCTGGTTTAAGGTCCTTGGTTTAAGGTCCTCAAACCAAGCCCATTCGAACTAAACCCGTCAGGACAGTCTTAGCCCGGATCACAGCTCCAGTATTGAGCTGCATCTGTATCTCCTGAAAGCTCCCCACAGCAGAATCACACAGTCAGGGATAACTTCATGAGAATATCTGAGGACCAGCAGCAGGTAAAGAGTGTATTAGTGTTCTATAATAACCTGCCATTACTGTAAAAGGATATTTTACAATAACAGTGGTGAACAAGTTGAGAAGTAATACTGTGCTAAAACACAGCTCTGTACTTCAATAGGTGGTTATTGAGCAGTTCGTTCCTACCAAATACTGTAGCAGTCGCAGGTACTTTGTTCTCTGTACGAAAGCCTTTCTTTTCTAAGTGCTTTTTGTAGTTACTGCCGTTCCTTTTTTCCTTAAAAGACGAAGTCTCCTCCTCACCTTTAGAAATCGGGCCCAGTATCACTGACAATTCCATCGGGCTCACCTGGCGTACCGTCAAAAACCTGAGAGGGTCCGTTAACTCCCTGCGATGGAACTGTTGTGCACATCTGTAGCCCTTAGCGTCAGCGCCTGGAGAACTGGCAGAGCATGAGTACAGTACACACTCTCGCGCTGGGCCAGGCTCCGGTCCGCTCCCTCTGGGCCTCGCTCACGGCCTGCTGTTTCCTGTCCCCAGGAGCAAGGAGAGGATCGAGATGGACGTCTGGAACACGGTCAGCCTGGAGCGCGCCAGTCGCAAGGGCGAGATCAACGTCAACGACAAGGACCGCGTGAGGGGGGAGTCGCCGGTGAGGGGTGACGCCGCCACCAAACCCGGCCTGTGGCCCCGCTGTGCTCCAGGGGAACGGGGGCTCCCAGTCTGCAGGGTGCACCTGGAGTCACTGTGGGCGCCGATCCCGATCGCTCCTCTTCCTCTCTCTCCGGGCGCACACCGGGCTTCCCGTGGGCTGTGGAGGGGGACGGGATTCCTCTGCACAGCCCTGCCCGGGGTCGAAACTGGCTTCCTGGAGGGCCTGGGGCCCCTGCTGTTCCCTCCAGCTCCGGGTGTCGATTGAACACTTAGCACCGTTATTTTCGAAATCAGGCACAGCTGGGATTTTTCTTGAGGTCTCTTACAGCTGATAAAGCCACTGGCTGCGTTCAAGGTGTGGTTACCTATAAATCCCATCAGAGCCTGGTGAGCAGTCTTATACAGATATCAATTGGAACAAAAACCCAGACCCTCCAGGAATTTCCAAACCCCCTAGTGTAAAGCTGGGCTCCTCAGTCCTGGTCATGGGGACCCCCACACTGGGACCTTCAATCAGCTTAATAATTGGAGTAAATAATACATTTAAACTGTATTTTTCCAGCTCTTAAACACGTTAGAGTTCGCCTTTTAACCACTGTATTGCATTTCACAAATAACATGAAATTACAACTTGTCAGCAGAAAAACAACTGTTCCAATCGCGTCACCTCTTAGTAAAATGAAGGACCTGATTAAGTAAAGAGACTGGCTGGAGTGAGGGCCAGCAGGTGTGGGTCTCCAGGCCCAGGGTTTCAGAACCCTGGTCTCAAAGCGCACATGTGATAAACCGGTCAAGGAGGAAGGTGGGTGTTTTGCACAAACCAGCCTGCTTTCCCAAGGAACAAAACATCTCCTGGCAAAGTTTCAGCAGTTGAGTGGTTTTGCACAGTAGTTTTGTTTCTGCTTAAAAAGGCAATTACTGACTACAGAAAAAGCCCCCCGAGTGATTCATTCTGAGTAACTCTGCCAGCACAGAGGTAAGGCTGGTGTGAGCAAATTGCAATCAGCTGATTGGGAGCATGAGAACCTTTGGCAGCGCGATGTGAAGTGATTGAAATGAGGCCTCAGCTCAGCTTTGCTCTTCTGAAGTGGCGTTCCCGGTATCGGGGAATCAGCTGGGCACTCGCTGAACGGCCCTTCTCTGCTTAATGGAGCAGAGGCAGGGCCCCGTTTCCCGTATAGGGTGTGTGTGTGTCCTGCAATACTCTGGTGTCCCATCCAAGGGGTGTGTGTGTCCTACAGTACACTCATGTCCTGTCCAGGGCGTGAGTGTGTCTTAAAATGCAGGGTGAAAGCTTTGCTACAAGGATGGGCTCCAAGGTTATAAAGCCTTCACCAGACTTTCTGGCAATGCCCAGTCATATACAGTAGTTGACTTTGGGGTGTAAAGTGGTGTGACCTTTTTTCCTTTTCTGGGTTTTGTGTATTTGTATCGTTGGTGATTAATAAATGTGTTTGAACAGATTTTTGCAAGTAATCCGATGTTGTTAACACGGATTTCACTCTGGCATCGGTGCCAGATTAGCTGGATCTGCAGCATTCACACCAGAAGGCTGCTGATCTCTAAACGTGACAAGAGGTTGCGCCTTGCACCCTGGGTGCGGCCTGTGTTTGGAGCTGGACACACTGGTGCCCAGGGCCTCTCTGCAGTGCGCCACTGTGCGTTTGCTCAGCTCAGTTACGTATCCAGGCAACAGAATGTCAACCTGAGCCGCAGGTGTTTGGAAAAAACAACTGCATGGAGCACTAGGCAAATTAATGAAATAAGCAGTAAAACATCCTATTACTAAGATCCGTTTTGGAAATAATCTAATAACCTCCCAGTCATCTGTTATGTTTTAACACAGAAACGTCTAATTATGGAGTTGTGTTTCCGACACAAAGTCACTTGCGTCTTGTTAGGGCAAGGGGGAGCATGTCTCATTATTGGATTTAAATCCTGCTGAAGAGATAGCGAGTGCTGTTTGAAGGAGAAAACACTTGTAATTTATGGAGCTGCAGGCTAGTGTTGACAAACGTAAGAAATCTTTCCAGAGCCTTTTTGTTGAAGGTGTTATGTAAAGGTCGCTGCTGTGCTGCAATCTCAAAATACTGAACGTAGCTACCTTTGTAAAAACATCTGTCCCTTTGTGACACAATCTCACCACAGAGGTCCTGGAAGTGAGTTTTGGACAAGGGCTGCTGCAGAGAGGCCGTCGCTGGGTGTGTGTCTGTGTGCAGCTCAACCCTGAGAGAGGTTTACTGTGCCAGTGTGAGGTGTGCAAGGGCTGGGGTTAGGCGTGATGCAAGCTGTAGAAATTGGCTCAGCGAAAGCACAAGTGTGGTAAAACATCTGTTAGCAGATGTACAGTGCTGAACGGTCATGAGCGAGGTCCTGCATGATCTGTTTTTGCTCTGTGCACTGGATGCTGCTACCTACTGACGCCCTCTTCTCTCTCTCCATTTATTTCAACCCCTGTCCCCTCTCCCTTTTCTGTGCTGTCTGGATTTAAGAAATCTCGAAAGGTAAATGATCTGTGTCCCAAGTCATATCGGGCTGTCGGCATTTCACATCATTGTGTGCCAGTGTCTTCTTCATCTCAGTTCCATTGTTCCCTTACTCATAATTAGAACAATAGCATTAAAGGGGTGTTTCCTTAGGAGCCATTTCATGTGTTCTAGTAGAAGCATTTGCTGAATAGCTCTGTTTGGCTTGCACCTGACAGATAAACCACCGAGCCGAGCGAGTAAGAACGCCAGCGCTCATAGCAAGAACACTTTCTCTCTGGGACAGAGGCCCTTGCTGATATTGGGCTTTAGGCTGGAAAATCTGTTTGATAAGAGGTTGGAGTGCAGGTCCAGAGCCAAACAGAGATTCTGTGCACCGTACCCTCGTGAGCCACCCATTCGTTCTGGTTCCTGTCCCTGTCCCTGCTCTCGTGTCTCCCTCCTTACTGCTGCCACATCGGCGCTGCACGAAATAACACACACACACACACACACACACACACAAAACACTCCACGACCTCACCAACACGAGCTGGAAATTCCTTTCTGAAAGACTCTTCTGTGTACCTCCCTGCCTCCCCCTCTCTCCCACTCTCCCTGCCTCCCTTCCTCCCTGCCTCCCTGCCTCTCCCTTCCTCCCTGCCTCCCCCTACCTCCCAGTCTCCCTGCCTCTCCCTACCTCCCTACCTGCCCCTACCTCCCTACCTCCCTGTCTCCCTGCCTCTCCCTACCTGCCCCTACCTCCCTACCTCCCTGTCTCCCTGCCTCTCCCTACCTGCCCCTACCTCCCTACCTCCCTGTCTCCCTGCCTCTCCCTACCTGCCCCTACCTCCCTGTCTGCCTGTCTCCCTGCCTCTCCCTACCTCCCTGTCTCCATGCCTAACCCTACCTCTCCCTACCTCTCCCTGTCTCCCTGTCTCCCTGCTCAGCCTTGTGAACAGAAGAAATACTGCCACCAGCAGCCAGCACTGTACACAGCAGCTGCTGCTCTTTTTCACAGCAATTAGCCAGGATTTCCCTTCAGGCATTCACTGCCCTACATACAGTCAAGAGCCTTCATTCTTTAATTAGTGTGGCCCTAATTGGAAAGTACTTCTTTAATTGCAGGGTGTTTGTGCAGGTTGATCATTGTTTCAGTGATAAACCAGATTTTAAATTACATCCAAACTATAGTTTACTGCTCTTCATCAGTTGTTAGACCTTTTCCATGGTAAAAAGACCCAGCACCAATATCAAAGTCATGAAACGTCAAGTACAATCTTCTTTGAGTACCTTGAGGCACAGAGAGGGATGCGACCAGGGCATGAGAGGCAGTGGCACAGGCCACTGTACAGACAGGCCACTGTAGCTGAAGCTGGGCTTCAGTTCACACAGGTTCAGCCCCACGCAGTTCCAGAGCGGGCCAGCAGGGGGCAGGGAGGGTCAGGCCTGCGGTCTGCGGTCACTCCTTCTCTGCCTGGCCTGACGCGACGACGGGCCTTGTGTTTCAGAACCAGCACACCGCGCTGAACCTCAAGGAGTCTCTCTTCATCGGCGGAGCGCCGGACTTCAGCAGGCTGGCCAGAGCCGCCGCTCTGAAGGACGGGTTCAAGGGAGCGGTTCAGAAGGTGAGAGGTCAAGTGACCGCCCCCATCCCGGCCCCCACATCCAAGGGCCACACGTTAACGTAAAGGGTCTGTTACTCCGGGAGGTTCCCGGTTCAAGTCCCAGACTCTGCCCCTGATCAAGGTGCTGAGATGTCAAGATGTCAAGCCCAGGTTGCTTGTCAAAGCTGTAGTATCCTATCATAGCCCAGGGGAGCTGTTAAAGGCCTGTTCTCCCACTCCAGGGGAGGTTGGAATAATTCACAGCTATAACGTCTCAACAGAATTCCTCCCCTAGGGCAGAACTCCCGCTGTCTGCCTCTCACCCGCGGGACCGATACTCCTCCTCTTCGGAGCGGCCCTCCATTCTTCATGGTTCTGCAAGCTGGTGGGATGTTTAATCTCTGCGCATATCATTAAACGTGTAGAGTACTCTGTACTGACTTCAGGCTCACATCTGTGGCTCGGCAGTGCAGCGCAGCGGCAAAATGTACCTGTTTTTTACTCCGCCATCCTGTTCTTAAACTAGGAGTTGAACTGCAGTATTTGCACGGTATTTGCACTGTGGACCAGAAGGAACGACATCTCGTTCCACTGTATACTTGTCGAAGGCTGGGATGACAAATGAACGTGAACTTGAACTTGTTCGGGACCGATCTGCTCTCGCCCAGATCACGCTGATGGGGACTCCGGTTCTGAAGCGAGCCAACGTCCTGAACTCCGTGGACATCTCCATGTACCAGCCGCACCCCTGCTCCCAGAGCGTGTGTCAGAACGGGGGGCTGTGTCGCCCCCTGCTGGAGGTCTACGAGTGCGTCTGCCAGCACGGCTTCACGGGCGGGCGCTGCGAGAACGGTGAGAGCTCTGTGCCTCCGGGCTCTTCACTGCCTAATCGGACTTCAGCTGCTTAAATGGCTCATAATTGCTTAATTGATGTGGCTGTTGAAGTTTGCACAGCTGGTTAGCTGGATCAAACAATGACAGGCTTATCGAACTGATATCGTCCCCCCCCTACATTCAGACACGGGGCACAGCTATCTGCTGAATTCACACCCTGCGCTGAGCAGTGAGCTCTAACATGGGTTCAGCTGAAGTAGAACTCTGACTCTCTGGCCAGTCTCGGATTCCCAACCCAAGCACGCGGCTCACACCGCCTCGTCCATCTTCAGCAGACAGTTCTCACAGGCTTCTTCCTCTTCACTCACCCTGAGCGGAAAAGCTCTGGGAACGTTCATCACTGCAGTGGTTATTTGAAGCCCTCAGTGAAGTCCGTCTCTCGTTATGACCCCAGGGAGGGTGAGGTGAGGTGAGGCAGTGTGATGTGCTCAGCTGGCCGGGCTGTAAATGCTGTGTCTGAGTTCGCCCTCCCTGCCCTCTGTCCCCAGCCATCATCGAGAAGTCGGCGGGGGAGGTGGAAGCCATCGCCTTCGACGGGCGAACGTTCCTGGAGTATCACAACGCTGTGACCAAGAGGTGAGAGGTTCCCCCGTCGCGGCGCCCAGACCCCGGGGCTCGGTCCAGATGGCCGTGGCTCTGCTGCAGTGAGCAGCTCTTGGGCCCAGAACCGTGCGTGTCCCAGTTCTGATCGGCGCTGCGCCCCAGCCTCCTGTTCCGGAGGTCTGGGGGGGTCAGAGGCCGTAAGGAACAATTGCTCTTTGCCCCCCTGAGCCCGCGGGGCGGTCCGGAGCTCAGCCTGCTGCTCTTACTGAAGGAGAGCCATGAGCTGTGGCCACATGGATGAGCTGTCCTGGCCGAAACGGTCTTGTAGCTCGGGAGTGTGTCAGGTGAAGTACAGCCTGTGTGATTTTTGTGCGTGCCCTTTAGCTTGAGCTGAAAAAGAGATTCCTGCCGCGTTCGGACAGAGCCTTTGAAAGACTCTTGAGTGCAGTGTGGAGCGAGCAGCTGAGAGCTGCACTGTTTCCTGCGGCAGGCAGGGGTCTTGTACCACTGCTCGTCTCATCACACACACGACCAGATGTGTTTTCAGCACCGTAGAGGATTGGCGAGAACCAACCTCGCCCTCCGCTGGAGAGCCGTGCTCGAATGTTTGTCTTTGTCTGCGTGGCGTTACCTGTGCGTGGGGAGTCCCAGTCTGAGGCCTGTCTGTCTATCTATCTGTCTGTCTCACATGTCTCCCTGTTGTCTCTTTCCTGCTCTCAAGCCAACTGACCAATGAGATCCCAGAGTAAGTAGAGTCCTGATGCATTCTGGGTTTTGTATTTTCACTCTTCATCTTTACTAACCCTGAGCGGAAAGCTCTGGTGACATAAATCACTCAGATGCCTTTTCAAGTCCTCGGTGAAGTCTGTCTCTCGCTATGACCTCAGAGAGGATAGAGAGACAGAAAGCAATGAGGCTGCTGGGAAACGGTGCCATGACATCACCACGAGGTGTCGCAGTGCTCGAACGGCCTGCCCAGCTGCTCGTGCTGTACGGGCTGGTTCTGATTTCACCATCTTTTTCCGTTTTGTAAAATCATTGCAGACATGTCCCCAAACCTTGGACGCATGATGGCATGCTTGCAGGATTGTGCATTTTGTATAAAACAGCGTTAAAGTGATCTCATGCATGCGAGACTCCAGCCCTGAATACTTCTTCACGGTTGATAAACGCAGTGTGAGTGTGCGTGTCTGTGCGTGTCTGTGCGTGTCTGTGTGCCCCTGTGTGCCCTGCGGTCACATCCAGGGTGTACGCCGCCTTGTGCCCAGTGCTTGCTGGGATAGGCTCCGGGTCTGAATGAAGTTGTTAGAAAATGGATGGATGGTTGAAAAACACATTTTTATTCACATCTTTCACCAGGATCACAATAACTGCCATATTTCAATTTACAACTCGTTTTTTGACAAAAAGTGCTCTTTTGGTTTATTTCTTATCATCACCTCAACACGCTCAAACCATCGTTGGGCTACAGTGTCCTTTTCCTGCCTCTTATCCTTTTTGTGAGATGAAGAGCAATCCTTTATACTTGAGTAAAAAAGAGATGTCTTCACTAATGTCGAGGGAGAGAAATGAGCTGCTTCTTCTGGTTAATTAGCTTGTTAAGCAACTGTGCAGAAGCCAGCAGAGCGTGAGCTGTGATTTGCTGTGATGTATGGTGAGCAAAAGTCCACAGAAGGGTCTTTTTTTCTTTAAGCGGTGTCATTTTTTATGGCATATCTGCATTCATAATTTCTCATGACAGACTCCAAAGAAACCAGAATGTTAATGAAGGAATTGTCTTATGCAAGTAAGGCGCTACAGGGATGATGCCCTTGCGCCCACGTTCCTCTGCAGGCGCCCGGGAGCCCAGGGCGTGCCCTTGGCAGGCTGAGTGTTAACGCCTCCTCACAGGAGTGTTGTTATCCAGGTGCCATTTCATTTGAACCCGGGGCTTCGCCTGTTAATGAGCTCCTCAGATAGACCAGCGAGCACAGGCTGCTGTGTGCTGGCCGTGGCTCTAGACTGTCTGTAAAAGACTTTCACACGTCTTGGTGCGGAACTTTGCATTTCACCCAGATGGGTACTGATCTGTTACATTCGCGCTGCTCTGCAGGAAAACATCTCCATTGTCAGCCATTTCTGTCTTTTAAAAAAATGTTTGTGATCAGATCCTGACCTTCTCTCACTCGGAATCTTATTAAACCGTTTTTGTTTTTTTAAAAGGAACACGTGTTTCAGCCAGGCTGCAGTGTGCTGTTGGCGGGGCTCTGCTGCCCTGCCTGCTCAGCTGCAGCACAAACACTGGTCTAGACTGCAGCTGGCTGAGGGCCCAGTTGCTGTTCTGACTAGTCTGCTGTGGAGCAGGAATCTTGCTCAGCGTGTAACAGCTCGAGCACACAGCCTTCATCTTTGTCTAGCGCCAGACCTACCGCTCAGGGCCGGGATCACTGCAAGCTGCAAGCTGTATTCCCCCTGGATTGCACTGACTGCTCTTGAACACTTGCTTATTGCATGCCTTCATTTTCTTTCTGCTCCTAAGTCCCGAAGCTCTGGAGGTTCCCTCGGATCAGAGGTGAGTCTCCACCGCTGTCCCGCTGCATGACTTTCCTGCTCTGGGGAGGACATCCTGTCAGCACAGGAAGTGCTCGTGCAACCCGAAACCACGTGGGTCGCGTTCCCGGTCCCCAGCCCTGAACGCGCCCTGGAAAACGAGCGCGCCCAGTGGCTAGCAGCGACCCCTGTGGTGACAGTGTCCCCCCCAGGAGAACTCTGTGCTAGGGCTTCAGTTCCGGGCAAGTGCAGAGGTGTTTGTCTCATCCAGGACTGCACGGGACGTTTAGCTTTAAAACGGATCTCAGTCCCTTGGGCACTCTCCCGGGCATCCGTCTGCAGGAGAGATCTGTTCTGCAGGAATGGGGAAGTGCAGAATGAGCTCGCTCTGGAATCCCTCTGTATAATTGAAGGTGTTGAACAGACCTTCTACAGTACGTGGGCTCCACTGTGTGGGTTTCAATCAGAGTACATTACAGGGTGTTTATATCTGAGTGCAAACCGCGCAGAGATCGAGAGGACAAGTGATTTAAAGAGCTGGGGAATTGTGGTCCTGCGGGATTCAGACGCTGTGGCCTGGAACTGAAGCTCAGGCTCCTGTGTTGGGAAGGTTAGGTCATCTAAAGGAGACCCAGGAAAGCACTGCGTGCCTGCTTGGAAGATCAAGCAATAGCAGAATCCAGGATTTTGTCTCTTCCTCCCCGCTCCATTTCCTCAGTCTGTCAAGCCAGAGACAGTCCCGTAGGGCAGATAATCGGGCGTCTGCTGTTTGCGCTAATAAGAGTCCTGGCATGACTGCGGCTCAGGCTGGCACCACGCTCAGTCAATGATCCTCACACATCCCAGGGCGTCTCCGCCCGTCCTTCACACCGGCGCGGTGAGGAAAAGCCGGAGTGCGCGGCGTTGCCTGGGAGAGGGCGGGATAGCACAGCGCCAGCCCGCTCGGGACAGGGAACCCCTGAAGGCTCGCGGGTGTGCTCCTGCAGTGGGGGCCCCCAGCAGCACGCAGGCTGGACTCGGGTGCTCTCCCTTCCCGAACCCTGTCTCCAGCAAGCTCCCAGCGGCTCCGCTGTCCCACACCTGGGGGGGTCTCCGAGCAGCTCCGCTGTCCCACACCTGGGGGGGTCTCCGAGCGGCTCCGCTGTCCCACACCT